GGGTTAGGAAACACATTATCTTGGACGGTTGAGAAAAGGTGGTGAAAAAATACAAATATTTTTTTTTACGACTTAATTCTCATGGGCAGCCTACCCAAGTTAAAATTTCTTAAATTTGAAAATTTTCCAAAAGCAATTTCAAACTTTGCCATTTTAAGGTGGCCTTTCATTTGATGGATCTCGTCAGAAATTTCTCTAGCAAATTTTGCAAAACTCGTTGTTCAATGTCTCAAAGTTTAGATGATATATATGCATCTTTACTTGATTTGAAATATAGGCCCCCATCTCTTCTTATTCTTCTTGTTTGCTTAATTGATGATGACTTATTATATTTGATTTGGGTCATCTTTGTTATTTAGCTTCTAACTTACTTGAGTTGGCCTATGTAAGTCTCTTTCTAGATTTGTTTACACAGTTTAGCCTTTATCATGTCCATCATAACCTACTTGCTTGCTAGAGATTTTTTTTCTTGTCAAATAATTTGAGAAGATCATTCATTAATCCCCGTCTCACTTTTAAAAACATTCATTTTCTCTTACTGAAAGGATCAAGCTACCTTTTATAAATGAAAATGCCCCCTTGTCTTGTTGTAGGGAATGTTCATCTGTTTTTCTAAAAGGGATTTGTTTTTCCTTCTAAACATAATATTGCCCCTTTGTACTAGTCATTATCTCTAGGTGTGCTTTGTAAACAACTTTGTCAAATAATGGTTTTTAAGTGACCATTTTCTCATTTCTTCCATTTTTAGTTTGGTGAAAGAATATTTGTCTAGAATAAATATTAAAATCTTGATCTTGCATTTTAAAAACAAAAATTATTTTTAAGTAAGTTTAAAAGCATTTGCTTTTGAAATCTTGGAACTTTTTGGTTTTTTCTTGGAAAAGAAATTATTTGCTCTTGTATTTGGTGATATAATATTTGGTGAAAGTACATCATGAGATGACTTTCTATTTCTTATGAGCTTTCAAAGTGAAGGGCTCGGAAAACAGCTCGAGATTTTGTTTGAGAAAAACTTGTTTATTTTTAAACACTTACTTTATCAGCATAAATAATAATGCATAGCTTGTTCTCAATGTCATAAGTCTAACAAAGAAGTACTCTTTGCATTTTGAGAGCATTACTTATTAATCCAAGTTGCTTGCTTACTTGATTAGAAATGACTTCTACAGGCATGTAATCTAGGCTGAGGTTTTTGGTTATGAAAGAAAAAATCATAATGCTCAAAGAGTGTTTCAAGGTTTCAAAGGCTGAGGATCATTATCAGCAGTTCGACTCTTTATGTCGTTCCTTTTTTTGGGGGTTTTTTTCCTGCTTTTCTTTTATTCATCCTTTTTTTTTTGTTGCTTTTGTAGAATATATTCATTTTATCTTAGTTATCACTCTGTCTTGTGATTTGGGCATACCCCTTAGTCATTAAGTTTCTTGGGCTTTTTTGCACTTTTGGCTTTCTTATGTTTTTTTCATCTTTTCTCATTGAAATTTTCACTTGCCCCTAGTATTGGGTGTGATTCAAGTTGGGATTTGTCATGAAAAAAAAATTATTCAGGCTGAAAAAAGACTGTAAGGGATATACTTTTTAAAATATGAAAGGAATAACAAAAATAACATTTTCTCATTTCAAACGCAAGCAGTTAAGATCAATAAGTTTTTGCCTCATCCAATGTGATGGTTTAGTCTTTGCAAAAAGATGCATTTCATGAATCTATGAGTAATGAGTTCACTACATACCATTATTCATACATTTAAAACAACATGTCTTAAGAGTCATAGTATGAGGATGATATATCATTTTCTATTCGTGCATTTGGTTAAAGTTTAGTCACCTCAATGAAGGAGTTGCTTAATTCATGTATCATTTTACAAGTAGGATGTCAAAAATATCATTTTAAATAAACATCAAATCATTTTTAAAATCAAATACAAGTTTAATTTTTTAAAACTCCAACAAGGAAACTATTTTTGGTAAAAGATATGAATGGTGCTTATGATATCGCGTGAGGCTTCATAAAGGTATTGGTGAGTTCCTAGAAGGAACCCCTTTCGGGATATTTTGGTTGTAACTCGAAGGAAAAGGACACAATTAAAGGACAAACTTATTGTTTCATTGAAATCCTTAAAAAGCAACAAAGACCTTATACTAGTAAGGTGACACATAAAATGGCTAAACATTTACCATTTATCGATTGGAATTTCTAGAATGTAAGGTGACACATAAAATGGCTAAACATTTATCATTTATCGATTGGAATTTCTAGAATCTTCCAACAGCCTCTCTTCTTTTAATTCCTCGATAGGGGCACCTTTTAATAGTCAGTTAAGGTCATATATAGATCAATATTGGCTTAGTGACATTGTAGCTTTGTCTTCAGGATGAGTGATTTCTAGATGTTTTTTTTCTTGTAGTTCTTTCTTTTATTTTTGTAACTACCTTGGATATTATAAACCTTGGTTTCTTTCCTTTCTCCAGTGAAACGTTCCTTCTCAATCGAGTCAATAATCCTTCTCATATAAATAACTTGTTCAATCCTCTTAGCTATAGCAACTAAGTCAGAAAAATATTGTGCAGACCTTTCCACGAGGTATTCAAAGTATACTGTTTTGTAAGTGTTGATAAACAAATTGACCATCTCCTTTTCCAATAAAAAAAGATTGACTTATGTAGTTGTCTCATGCTACCTTTGAGTGTATTCTTTTATGAACTCCTTGTTTTTCTTTTCCATAGCTTGCAAGCTTTACCTATCAAGGTCCACATCCATATTGAACTTATATTTCCTAATGAAGGAATCAACTACATCATTCCATTTTTTTACCTTGGTATTATCTAACCGCATATACCGAGTAAGGGCAACGTTAATTAAACTATCTTGAAAGAAGTGAATCAACAATTTCTTGTTATAAATGACTTCATCCATTTTGTTGCTGTATTCGTTGAGATGAGTTATAGGGCATTGAGTTCCTGTATATTTGATAAATTTTGGCACCTTAAACTTCTTAAGAATGACTATGTTAGGTACCGAACACATCTCGACAGCTTTCACCAGGTTATACAACTGGTTTTACTTAACTGCCCTCACCCTATCTTCTAGGGTAATCCATTTTTCCAGACCCTCATCTCCTAACATTTTGTCATTGTGAGACTCCATCAAGGTTGACTCAACGGTATGAGGGATCCTTTTTGGGTATACAGGTTGAGCTGGGAAATGTGTAATGTATTGGGGCTCAAACAAGGTTCTACTTGCCCCCAAGTTTGGTGGATTGGAGAGAGCTGTAAGTGTCGATGGAATGTTGGTTATAAATACTGGTTGGGAGGCTGTCCCTTCTCCTGACTTATATCTCAGAGCTTACTCGAGTAGGCTAGTAAGTCTAGCAACATCTTTTTTCAAACTGTCTAACTCTTTTCGGTATTGGGCTTTCAACTAAGCTTTTTCTTTGTTTTCCCTTTTGTTTTTTTTTATAGTTGAGTGTCAGAGATGTGTTTCAATGAGGGACCTATATTTCACCTGGTGTGTAGTATTATGACAGTTCATAAGTATATGTTTAAATATGCATGAATATGAATGCAACATATTGAGTATGAATTCACTTTTTATGGTAACATAATAATTGCTATTTTTTGGATATGTGGTAGATTTGAATCCGATATTTATTGCAATGCCGAAATGAGATCTGTTTAGCCTTGTTTCATCTGAACTTTCAACTATATTTTTGGTGTTTTTTTATTAGACATCTAATGTCTTTGAGTAGTGGCATCTAGTTTAGGATAGTCTCTCTCAGTCATTTGCAAGAAGTCAGACTCGAGTCTATACTCAACAATTTTTATTTTAGGAATATCGATCATTATGTTACCCAAAAACCCTGTAATATGGATGTTTGCACGTATAAGCTTATCTTAGTAAAAGTATATAGGGATTAACATAAATGATAGGTTCTAGTCATTAAATGCATTAGGGTAATTTTACTATTTAGTCTCAAAGATCTTTTGCATGCTCGGTGATCATCCTTGAAAGGTTGATATAAGGTTTATAAGTAGCGTGAGGATAGAGGTCTTGAGTAATATCAATTCGGCATATCAAGCACTATCGAGCAAACAATCATGCGAGAGTTAGATAGTTTCGTGAGCCTTACCCAGGCTAAAGCTATTGGGATGCTGTTACTCCTATACTGAGGTCTGTATTTATAGTGTCAGAGTCCATTCGCGTGTGAGCAACAATGTTTCAATCAAACTCATTTTTTTTTTTTAAGTTTGAATTTGATTAAGAATCAAATTTGAAAGCAGATAACTATCATTATCTTGAAGATAAGGATTATCTTGAAGATAATGATTATCTTAAAGATAAGGAGAGAATGATAAAAATATATTGTAATCTCTAGTTTCCGTGCAAGTTAAAAATCATATTTTTTATCGAAATAAATATTTGATCTTTTAATTTTACATTTTAAATCCCATAGAATTAAATTAAAAAACCAATCGGCTGAAATTGGGTTACAACTATGAAAATATGGTCATCCAATAACTCTTTTTTTCCATAGTTTGTTGATAACCTTTTCTTTTCCTCTTAAATCTAAGGACTATAAAAGAAGAAAAATAAAATCTTGCATCAAAAATGAAATTTTAAAAACAAAAGAGACCATGAAGGAAGAATAAAGGGATAAAAAAAAAACTTTTCATGCAAATTTGAGATTAGCCACACCGTGCTATATACTTTAATCTTCAGTTTTTTAATTATGCTTTTCTATCTTAAATTATAAGAAATTGATCATTAATTTTATCACAAAAGGTGCAATCAATAATAAATAAAATATTAAAAAATAAAATAAAATGTATTGCTCTTTTCTACCATGATCTGGGAGAGTGTGCCTTTAGTTATACGGGGATTGCTATAAATATATATAAGACAGATTGCAAGGACTAACTAACTAATTTTATTTATTCCATCGGAACTAAGTTATTATTAATTCACACACTTGCCATAACACCCAAATAAAAAATCATTATAAAGAAGCGGCACTCACAAGTCATTCCGCTGTTTGAGTTCCACTGTATCTCCAGCTCCCAGTCTTTCTCCATATACGGCACTTATCTTAATTCCTATTTGTTTCCTGGAAAACGAGGAAACAAAAATCAGAATTTTCTCTGTAAGTACCTATCTCTCTCTGTCTTGAATGTATTGAGCGCTCTGTTTCTTGAAATCCTGTTGCTTAAAGAGAGAGCAGAGCCAGAAATGCTTCATATAGATATAATTCTTTGAATTTAAGGAGTTTTTCCATTTTTTTGCTTTCTTTAAGTGAATTAAAACTTCTATCGTTGTGCATGTATTGCTAATATAGTGTTTGCTGAATTGGTATTTTGTTTCCCCTTTCAAGTTCAGGTAATTTACTTCTCGAATTGATGAAGTGGGTACTTTCTTTTTCTGTCAAACTGAGAAAAAAATCTCAAATTTTTTCCAGTGTTACTTTACTTTTTTGATTGGAAAATGATGGGAAGGGAAACATTTCAGTGAGTTATGAGTACAAAAGACTAAAAATTTTGTTCAATTTAAATCGGTGGTTTATTTCATTCTGTGTTCTGTTTTAGTTGGAAAGTGAAAGTAATTGCCTTTGTGAATCCCAGAAAAGAAAATCAGCCGTCGCTTTTTTTTTTAAAAAAAATTCTGTTTAATTGCTTAAATTTCGGAAATATTCACTCACCGATTGATGTAGATCGAATTTTTATGTACCGTGATTTTAACTCCTTTTGTTTTGTATTTCTGCTTGGTTGCTATTGGTACAAGATCTGCAACAAACTGTAATTCGGAACGTCAATAAAACCCATTTTTGTTAGCATACAAAATGTAGATGTAGTGATGGAAATTTCACACCATGGACTCCCAACCATGGTTGGATTAAAATAAATATATATTAAGGTATTGCACTTGAATCCCATGACAACTTAGATCATACTTTGCTAGCCAATTCATTTTCTTTCTTTTCATCTGCTTGGATTTGGTTTATTTAATAGGGTTATGTTACTTCAACTGCCTCATGATAACCAGGAAGTGAAGCAAAGTACATAGTTGATTGCTTTTCTTTTTTGTTTCATTTGAATGTAAACTTGTTATTTGATTAGACTTAGTGATATGAATTTTCATCTCCGTATAGAAGCTGAAAGAGTGTTATATTGCCTTCAAGTAGGACATCGGATTCAAAGTTGAAAGGAGGAGGAGCAAGCCCAGGATACTACTCTGAGGTTCACAAGAAAAGCAAAAGGCAGAAAATATAATGGGAAACACAACGCAAAAATCCCAGGAAACAGAAGTAGAAGAACCAGGACAGATACAACAAGAAGAAGATTCAAACTTTACATGTGAAATTTGCATCGAACCTATGTTAGCAATCAGGAAATTCAAGAATGGTAGCCTGTGTAAACATCCTTTCTGTTTGGACTGCGTAGCCAAATATATTGAAGTAAAAGTCGAAGAAACCACTGGCTACATTGAATGCCCTGGACTGAACTGCAAACAATTATTAGACCCTCTCTCATGCAATTGCATCATCTCAAAACCAATATTTGAGAAATGGTGTGATCATCTATGTGATTCTACTGTTTTAGGGTCTGAAAGCTGCTATTGCCCATACCAAGATTGCTCAGTCTTGGTTTTGAATGAGTGTAGGGATAAGCTAAAGAAAATAAAATGTCCTAACTGCAAGAAAAGCTTCTGTTTCCTATGCAAGATTCCATGGCATGCAGGATACCAGTGCAATGAGAGCAGACATCTAAGAGATAGGAATGACATTCTGGTTGGTGAACTGATTGAAGAGAAAAAGTGGACTAGATGTTATAATTGCGGTCACTCCGTTGAGCGAGTTAGTGGTTGCAGAGATATAAAATGCAAGTACGCTCTCCCTCCCATCCCTCCCTAACTGCATAATATTTGTGATTTAGATTTTTCATTCTTTAACCAACAAATTATATTTAACAGGAGATTATTATAGTTTGGATTATGCAACACTTTTTCCCATAACATATATATATATATGATAAAATAATGGGGAAATGACGTAGCCTATCTTTATATACTATAGTCAATGTTCAATATGTCCTTATATACTTAATTGAGCTAATTGTGTCGCTGCCAAATAAGTGTGTTTCCAATCTATTCTTCCAATGACATCTTCCGGCTAAAGCATAAGCATTAGTCACGTGATATGGATATGACTAGTATTATATCGAAAATGACGTTGAGGTCAAAAGGAGAATTACCTTAACTTGTCTTTACATTTTAGGCATAGTTTCCAATATGTCCTTAAAAATTTAATTGCTCTTAATTTGTCATTGAATATAGTGTTATTTTCAAACTGAGGCAATTAAACTTTTAAAAGCGGATTGGAGACTGCCTCTAAAATATAAGGACAAGTTGGGTTAATTCTCCCTTTTATCTCAGGGTCATTTTTTATATAATATTATTTATGTGCTTATCACGGGACTGATTCTAATAGCTTAGCTGGAAAGTGACATTGGAGAAACATATTAGAAACTCACTTATTTTGCAGGGACACAGTTGGCTCAATCAAGGATACAAGAACAGTTTGGACACTGACGCCATTATATAAGAATATGCTGGGCTATTTCCCCTAAAGTAATACAAAGCAACATTATATCATTTAAAGCTCATTAGAAGATGTAGTTATAATAGCTGAAAACATATAAGTTCTTTATATATATAAAGAAAAACTAATGATTTGATAGGTTAATTCGGTTAAACTGGATTCATGTCAAACATTAGCACACTTATTTGAGAACCGTCTCAAAGTTCTATCTAGTCCTTCTCTCAAGTATAGCCGTATTCAAAATGTGGGGTTGAAGGTTTCTTCCATTCAAAATCAGTTTAAGAGCTAGCTATGCATAGGCAGATTGTATGTCAATGTAATCTTTCAATTTAACATGTATAATTCTGATTCGTTTTGATTATTAATGCAGATGCGGGGTTAGGTTTTGCCATCAATGTGGAGGACCATTCCATTTCGGCCCTTGTAGGCACAAGCGCTTTGGAACTATTCTTTGTAATCTGTTCATTTTTGTGGTGTTATCAGCTTTATGCTACATCTTATATTTTGAAATACATTCGCGCCCCAGAAGGTAGACTCAGTTGCACAGGGCATGTATCCTGGCACGTTGAAATGCCACAAGAAAAAAACAGATAAAAAAGAAGGGGTTGTAAATGATGTTATTCTCGTACATTAAAGTAATAAACTGGTTTGTTCAATGGTTGGGTTGCCTAACATGGGTTAGTTTTGTGCCGTCCTTGAACGTCTTTTTCCTTAACTAGAAGAAGAACAAAAACGAAATTCCAGATAGCTTCTTCACTTTCAGAAAGAAAATTCATAGTCTTGGTATTTTATTTTCTTGCATTTGTGCTCAGATGCTGGGAAATTGATTGAAAGTGAAACATTTCGATGCTGGGAAATTGATTGAAATTGAAACATTTCGATATTGTATGATTCTAATCTATAAAGAAACAAAATTGGTGCAATTTAAGTGGTTTGTTTCACTCTCTGTTTCATTTGTGAATTCCCAGGCTATACAAGGTAGTAGCTTCGTGTTTTGTTTAGTGCTGGAAAGTAAGAAATTACAACCCCGTATCCCATGCATCGCCAGTTGCTGGACAGATTAGTTAGCTGATCTGATGACTAAGGGTCTTCCAACCCCGAAGTTTTTGACGCTTCGGTCCAGTCTGATCGAGGCTTCACCAGTGCTGACCAGCTTGCAGGAGGGTTATAGAGAATAATACTCGCAGATACAGTATCAGCTGCACATATTTCTTTCCTTATTTAGATAATTCAATCCTGCTTTTGTATCCCCGTAATTACTATAATTCCAGCAAGCAATCCTTAACCTCTGTTCATATCAGTATATAATATACCACGCAGCACTCTGTGCGCCTTTCTCTGCATATTTCTTTTTATTAGTTCCAGTATAACATTATTGCTTGTTTCATTGACGGAAGAGCTATAAAAATGAAGGTAGGTTCGTTTTCATTCTGAACCTATGTATCTTTCTTTTGGAGATGAAGCAAAAGGGGACATGACATTCCAAATCGATAACTTTGGCATTGTGATTGAGAAATGAATTCCTACCAAACACGGCATTAGGGTTTCCACTAGAAATTAACCAAACATGATCTCAGTCCAAGCATGGTTCATGGCTTCTTATATGGGTGAATATCAGGACTGGAGCCCGGAAACGAGTATTAATCTATTTTTCCAAGAAAAACAGACAAAGAAACATGGAAAAAGAATGTTGTGTTCAGATGATGTGTTTTTACAAATGGGAAAAATGATAAGAGTTTCTTTTAGCTTTCCAACACAAACCCTAGAACTTCCAAAATTTTCCATTTTCACCGGGGGCTTGAGAGGGCCATTTTCCCCAATTTTCCCTGCTAGCATTTTTTTTCCAGACAGAATTAACTTACTTTTTTCTTTCAATAACAACTGTAACCTCTCTCTATATATAATTTCTTGCCCTAACTCTTAATTTGCTCAAAGTGTCTTCTTTATTTGTCCTTTTGATTAGTAAAAGCTGAGATATTTTTTTTTTAATTTCAAGAAAAAGGACACAACACTCTGGAACATTAAGAAAAATGGATCCAATCTGCAACATAATACTAGAAAATAATATATTGCACAACTAAATAGTCTCCAGTTCTATGAATGCAACATAGATTTTGAGCTTATTTATTCTCACTGTCTGAAAGGAATTTCTTGTTACGTTTATGTTCATTAGCCATTTTTTTAATCTAAATTATATTTCTCATAACCCATCTACATGGGATATGGGCATTACAATCTTCCCCTATTTAAATGTGCAATATCTCATCGCACCATGATTACAGCTCATGATCAAACCCTAGATGATGTAGATAGTTTCCACTCTGAAATTCTTTAAGTCCATTACCTATTTCTTTTATCTAATTTAAATCTCTCTTAACCCATTAATGTGGGATACGTGGCATCATAATTTTCTCTTTAAAATACGCGACGTGCTTATCACACCATAATCATGGTTCAGGATCAAACCCTAGATGGGTCGGCCAATTCCCACAAGCCTGGGGAAGGGCTTGAAGTGCAACTGAACAACTTCTAGTCCTACGTACAGATGTAAAGATGGAGTATAGAGCATCACAATCTTCACCCTTTAAATGAGCGACATTCATAGACAGTCTAGGATGGAGCCATGGACAGTGCAGGTGAAGGAGTCTTCCTGCAGAATAGTTCCTGCAGTTTGTCTATTAGAAACTGCAGGATACTTAACTGCTAGTTTTCTGTTAGAATTTGTTAGGATAATACTGATCTACAGGGAAAATCTAGTCTATAGGGATATCTACCTGTATTTGATTTGTTCAATACTTCTGTTATCTCTTTAGCTTTATTCCTGCTAAAATGCAGCTTGTTTTCCGGTTCTGTTAAGATTGTATTGAATGGCTATTTAAAGCCAAAGTCATTGACATTAAACTATTCGTTCCAGTTTTTGTGTTCCAATTCTTAGCTACTTGTTTAAAGTTCTAACAGCAGGCAGTCCTCGCACTAGCTAGGGTTCCCTCCAATATTGTTCCGTAGTTTTGTTTTTGCGGTTCAATCTATCTTTTTTAAAAATTTGAAGCCAAACTCTTCATGATCCTTGTACATGAGATATGGGCATATCTCAAAACGAGCACTATATTGCATTGAAATGATTGAAGATAAGAAAACATCACCTGCATAAGGATAAAAATACATGTATAGCTAGTTCAATGTAGGCTGTGTTCTGCCTTGCCTTGTTTCAGACAAATTTACATCATACAGGCCACAAAAGTCTACCAGTATCTTGTTATTGTTCCAGGAAAAAAAAAAAAAAACTTGGTGCTGTTGATTCACACAAGCGCCATCTGAAGAAGTGTGTGCCGATCGAGAAGCTGCTGTCCTAAAATGGCTTAAAATCTGGTGGTTCAGTAGGTGCCACACCTTTTGACCTTTTAAACTCCACTAGAAAAAGACATCCCTAGAAAATCCTTCCCTGTAGCCTCAAAGACAAACTGATTTTGAATTTAAACAAAGCCCACAGCTGGAGAACTCCATTAGTCCGATCTCTTACACAAGAAGGGAAAACAAAAATGGTGAAGAGGTCAATGCCTCCATCTTTCAACGTTGGCTTTCTGCTTTTCTTCTTGGAAAAGTATTAAAAAATAGAACCACTTTGTCTTAAACCACTAAGCAAAACCCAAAAGGTATCGTGATCCTGATATCATACGTTTTTGGAGCCCTTTGGACTGCTTCCCTATGAGGATTCTCTATCACTTGCATTACGGATTACCTCGATTGTTTACTTTTTTTAATCTCTACTTCTCCAAGTTGAGTTTGTTTATCTTTAATTCATTTTATACTCAAAACCTTTTCTACTTCATACCCGCATAAGTCCTAATCATAGTGCTATCAATAATTAATTCAGGCTCGCTTCCCACCTTGTATCAATCATGTATCATAATTGAAATATGATTTGTCCAAGGTGATATCTGGAATTTGTTTGATATTATAACAATAATTATTTTTTAAAATATTTTTTACTTAAAAATATATTGAAATAATATTTTTTACTTAAGCCCTTCAAAACAATTTGAAAATATTAAGAAATATTATTTTAAATAAAAAATAATTTTTAAAACTTTTTATATACATGTGATATAAATGGCTCTATAGAAATATTGGTCACCGCTCATGATAAAAGAAATCCATATAGCTGATATTAGCTAGGAAGAGGCCTATGTGATGTCTATTTTGGCTTGATTCCTGCGTTGCATGATATAGTAATGTTGAGTACGTTTATTAACACACTTGTTTAAGAAGACTGGGATTAGGATTAGCATCGAAGTCATTTTAAAATCTTGTCTGTGTATGTATAGATACCCCTGCTCCATGTAACTTCTTGTTGTCAAGATTCGATTTTTTTAATTAAAATTAAATCCTTAATAAAATGACTGCATATTTAATCTGCATGTGGGAGATGTTTCGAAATAAAAATAAACAAGAACTAAGCGACTTTGATGTCTGGTCTTCAACCTTTGTTCTTAAATGAGGATACTCATGGCTTCTCTAGTTTCCATGACATTTATTGCTGAATTGTTGCAGTACTAACACAGAGAGAAAACATCATTTCCCAAAAAGAAAAGCACAAAGGAAACTTTTTAGCATGTACTGTCAAAAAAGGTGCACCCAATCCACATCCCCCACAAACTGAGCCTGAAACCTGAATCTTTGAACCCATGCCTTCCTTACCTTCAAATCTTTATCTTGTGATTTTACTCGCAGTCAGCATCAGTAGTACATGACTTTTTCTCCTATCTTGTTTTCATCAAACGAAAAGCTATTACAGCTGCTAGTGCTAATAAGTTGCTTAATCTCCTCTAGACCATAGTCTAGTGGATTATCTCCCGGCCATAACCCATTTTGCTTTTCAATCCACCCATTAAGTACACCATGAGCAGCAGCCCCACTTGAAACCATTAATTTTTGGTCATCTTCAACCCCATTGTAGAGATAATTTTGTAACCCCATCTGTTCATTGTTGTTATTTGTACCACCACTATATTCATACTCCTCTTTGACATGGCTCATCTGATTGTTGCAACTCCCATCAGACGAGCTGCAGCTGGCTTCACCTCCAAACATTATAAGACTATCTTTAACTTGATCATTTTGCATAGGCCCCACAAAGGTTTGTTGGGGGTGTAGCATAGAAGCAGTAGCGAAAGAGCTAGTGCTCATAGGACTTGATGAAAATGAGATTGGATCAGTGAAAGACCTAGTTAGGTTACTGTAATAACTGTTGTTGCTGCATGTGAATGATGATGATGGTGATGACAGAAGAGTGGACGGTGAAGACGGTAATGATGTAGCTTGAAGGAGAGATGAAAAAAGAGCAGCTTGCTGAGGTTTTCTATGAGCAATAGGATTAATCACACCCATTAGTTTCTTCTTCAGCTTGGTGTTCCAGTAGTTTTTTATGTCATTATCAGTCCTGCCTGGCAACTGAGCTGCAATTATTGACCACCTGCATTTTGACGGCAACAAGTTTTGTAAGAAGAAATGAAAGTGATATTCTGATCTCCAAAGAGTAACTCAGCACTCCTAATTATAAATGTAAGCTTGGCATGCATGCACATATATATTTCATATAATCATCCGTATTTGGATATGCTTGAGCATGCAGATCTTTCTCTTGAGATTTCATTTTTTTGCAAGAACTGAATACACTCATAAATATTGTTCTTCTCCATGCCTTAAATAGGAAAAAGTGTTGCTCTACATGACGAAATATTTGAAAGAAACAGCTGGTTGTGGAGTGAAATTAAAGAAAAAGAGAGCTGAGAGAGCACCGGCTTCCAATGCTGGCATATAGGCTGCAGATTATCCTGTCTTCATCATCAGAGAACTCTCCATGTTTAATGTTGGGCCTGAGATAGTTTAGCCATCTTAATCTGCAGCTTTTCCCACATC